TGGTATACGTGTGGTTAGCTGACCATGGTATACATGTGATTAGCTGACCATTGTATACATGTGGTTAGCTGGTATACGTGTGGTTAGCTGACCATGGTATACATGTGGTTAGCTGAACATGGTATCCACGTGGTTAGTTGTTGTACATGGGGTTAGCTGAGCATGGTATATATACATGTGGCTTAGCTTCACCACAGCTCTGGCACACTGCCTTTCTATTCCATCTCTCTGGAGAAAGGTACCAAGGTAGACCTCTTTATGTGTCCCAGAATCCCCTCCTGGATCCTATGAATGCGGATGCTGACAGCCAATGAGTATAAGGTGCCTTCCCAGGCCTCCATTCTGCCCTTGGCCACCCTGACACCAAAACATGAAATCAGCAGAACATCTTGAAGAAGCATAGATATCATCTGATATGTTCTCTCCCTTTATTCATAAGATTGTAAAGAGATCATGTCATAAAATCCAGCTGAAAAGGTCTCATATCCATGAGTCCCATGATTTGAAGCAGGCTCCAAAGTAGAGTGTCAGTCTGTGCTCGGCAGGGAAGGTCTCCTTTTCTCTAAGCCACAGATTCTGTGTCCTGAAACTTGCATCCAATAATTGTGCCTATGATGTCGTGGCCAAGAAGGGATTCTCAAAAAAAAAAGAAAGAAAGAAAAAGAAAAAAAAAAAGAGTAAACACAGCGGCAGCTTCCCTGCAAGAGAAAGAAATAGGTTTTATCACCTAATAAACACGTCTCACCAATCAATACTTATTTGGCCTCTTTTCTGAAGCAACTCCCAAGAGTCACTTGAATTCTCTCACTATGGATAATTCTTGAAGAAATTGCATTCCGACCTCCTAATGATCTTCGAACAAAGCAAGCACCTCATTTTATTAAGTGCAGCTACCTAGAGGAGCTAGTTCAGAGTGGAACTCAAGATACAGCTAAAAGTGAGATCTTAATCATCCCGATGAGATAGAACTCTACTGTGTAATCAAACCTCACCAAGCCAGTCTCCTGAATGCCAGTGGCAAGAACAAACAGATGTCAGGGCTATTTGTTTTGTTCAAAACTGACAGGAAATCAAAAATCCATCAAATAGATGTGCCAGCAGCAATGCCACAAGCATATTGGCTAGTGAGATTTATATGCCTCCGTTTTGGTCCATGAGAAAATTACCTAAGCCTTCTACATTTGCAAATGCCCACTTGGACACACGGGTCAGCGAGTTCATGAATGTTACTTTTGATGCTAGGTACCATGAAAAATGTAGGCATGTGTTACATGAATTTAAATCCTACATTTTTATGTTTTTGTGGGGGTACAGTTAGCCCTGACTTGTCTGGAACTCAGAGATCTGCATCTTAAGTGCTGGGATTAAAGGCATGTGATATAAAAATATGAAATAATATCTCCTCTGGCACATTTATGTAACTCTACAAATTGTCTTTTAAAGACAGAGAACTGGGCTGCAGAGATGGTTCAGAGGGCAAAGGGCCCAGTACACAATCGTGATGTCCTGAGTCCAAATGTCCAGAAACCATATGAAGTCAAACGCAATAGTATGTGTGTCTGTCATTCCAGGACTCAGACAAGATTGCTCCCAGGCCTGGTACACACAGCAAAACAAAAAGCAAGAGACTCTATCTTGAATAAGGTACAAGGTAAAAATCAATACTTCAGATTATCATCCCCTCTCTCCTTCCCTCCATCACACACACACACACACACACACACACACACACACACGCACGCACGCACGCACGCACGCACGCACGCACACACGCACACACACCTGCATTTATGCATATAAATGCATACATATACATATGCACATATGCAAAAAACAAAAGAAAACAGAGAGTTACAAAATTCCCAAGTTAGTATATCAATTGAATTATAAACAGTGCCCATATTATTACCATGCTACAATGACATTGTCTATATTAACAGAATGCCTGTATTTCTATTGCACCGTATTCATGTGCACTGGACCTCTCTGAGTGTGTCAGTGACCACTGTTGATGGCACTTTTAATTTCACTGTTGTTAGCATTTCGATATCTCTTCATGCCTTAAGATAGCATGATGTGAGTCTTCACTAAGTGAGGCTGTTAGCATAAATGCAGAGGAGATAAACTGTCAAAAACTCAGGAGCAGAGGTATGATGTGATCCATGCTATAGTTTTTAAAAGGCCACACAATCACCACCACAATCCTGGACACTGATTTATGAAACTAACCCAGGAGACAACAAACTTTGCCCTTCTTCTTTCCAACAAACAACAAAAGGAGAATAAAGTAAATAATTTAGGCTGTTAACTGCTGCAAGGTCTCTGTCAAAACTATTCCAGTCTGCTGTTGCAGCTTTGAACGTAGCCAAGAGCACAGTTGTGTTCCAATAAATCTTAATTTATAAAAAGCAGCAGCCTGGATACATTTTTCGGCTACAGTGTTCTGAACTCTATTCTCTGTGTGGTCCCTCCTACCCATTATATTTATTTACTTTTTATTTTAGTTACATCTCTCTCTCCTACCACCCCCCCACCCCCACCCCCCGTGTGTGTGTGTGTGTGTGTGTGTGTGTGTGTGTGTGTGTGTGTGTGTGTGCGCGCGCATTTGCATACACCACACATGTGTGCAGGTCATGGAACAACCTGTGGGAGTCAGTACCCTCCTTCTACTACCTGTGGCCACAAGACTGAACCCAGACTACCAGGGTTGGGGGCAAACACCTTCTCTCAATGAGCCATCTTTTCAGACATTGTTTTTAGTTTCAAAGCGGGTCTCACTCCATAGCCCAGGCTGCTCCAAACTCTCAGCCACCCTGTCCCAGCCCCCCAAAGGCTGGCTCCTTTCCGTTTAATTTTGTCACTTCACAACTCAAGAACAGTACACACCCCACCTACAACTTATTTTCCATAAAGCTATTTTTGAGAAAGGAAGAACGTTCCATGAAGACAGAAGCATTTTAAACTACAAAAGCTTTGTAAAAATTGTCGTCAAGAAAATGGGAAGGAGAGAGAATAAAGCTGTGGCTGGGCTACAACACCAAAGCCTAAAAATTTTTCTAAGTCTGATTTGTAGTGATGATTACAGAACTATTTATTTATACTTCACAAAATGGAATCATCAATTTAATTTGTATATAAGTAATAACTCAATGAAGTTGATTGGAACAGCTTAAAGCTTAACTGATAGTTTTTAATTTACAGTAATTGTAGATGCATATGTGAAGAATATATAACCCTTCCTTTACATTTACTCCTTTGAGAAAATGGGTTATGAATTATGACAGCCTGCTCTATGTATATAACACAGGAACTCTGTGGCACCAAATGCTACTGCCCCACTCCAAAGTCCTGGTACTATGTAGACCTCGACCACTTAGCTACCTGAGGCTGCTTCTTATACACCAGGATAAGCCCAAGTCATAGGTTAGTCTCACATAGTAAAAAGGAAAAAAGACAATCCAAGTGTCCTACCTCTTGATACTACAAAAACATTATCATCTACGAAGTTCATACTGGAGAACTGTGTATCAAGTCATACACACAGGCTAAAATCATCATCATCATCATCATCATCATCATCATCATCATCATCTCCAGAGTAAGAGTTTATTGTTTTCTGCTAAGCTGCACTGATAGCTGTCCTGGGCTCCAGGGGCCACAAGCTGGGCATGACTAAAAGACAACAGGCCACACTGTAAACTTTTTAAATTTACTCATCTTTACCAGCAACACTTTAAACCCAAACTGACTTAGAACCACAAGCTGGCAAGAGCCTTGACTCCTTGTTTCAGGTAAATTTTCTCTAACCTGGAGCTTGTCTACATTACATTCAGATAATAAACAAACCAACGAATGAATGAATAATGCAAGAAGAGGCTTTGATGAAAAAAAATCAGGGGAAAATTCAGGATGCAAACCATTGATAACTGATATAAAGGTCAACGTATACCCAAAGATGCTAAAAGCCCAGTTATCTGCTTTCTTGGTGTCCTAGCACTTGACTGCCTCCATCATCTCTACCCAGGGATGAGCTCAGGAGAAACACCCCCTCCCCCCACCCCCCCGCAAGACTTGGTCAACCAGAACTCCAGGAGTGGGTCCACTAGTCTATGCTTTAAAATCCTCCAGCTGTTCCTGATGTTGACTAAAATTTCAAGACCACTAATTCAAAGCTTGGAAACTAGCAAGCATTGCCTTTCCAAAGTCCCTCGTGTAACTTAGAGCTGACTTCAGAGCTCACCCCCTGGGTAAGTCGGGATCAGTGCCCAAGGGCACGCGCGCATTAGTACTCAGTGAGAGTGGGGTCTATTAAGACGGAAGTGCCCAAATGGAAGCCATTAAAGATGCCTCTACCTGGGACTACAGTAAAGCAAAGCCATTACTGCATCCCTGGGGAGATGGTGAAGATGAGAGCCACCATCAAGGCCACAGGGGTGGTGGCTCCAACCATATCTCCATTAAGTCCATTTGGCCTGTGCTGCTGGTGGACACTGGAGAAGGACAGTTAACTATTGTGAGTTGAATCAAGTGGGGACTCTAATCATGTACAAGCTGCACTTGCCTTGATTGAATAGATTAATACATTTCCTGGTCTCTAATATGTGGCTGTTTTTTTCTTTGTATCTGACCATAAGACCCATCAGAAGCTACTGGTTTTTTTTTTTTTTCCAGTTGGTATCTTTTATTACATTATGAGATGTATTTAGAAGATCTCATAATGTATTATGAGAGGGTCATGAGCCCTTGAGGACAAAGGGTAGAATGTTACAGTTCAAGGTGTCTGGGTGTCACATTGATAAAGGATGGGCTTGTTTGTCAACGCTGTCAACTGACTGGATTCCGAGGTGGTTGGGACATACAATTCTAGGTGAGGCTGGGAGGATATTTCCAGAGAAATGTATCCAAGAAGGGAAGACATGCCCAGAGTGTTGGTGGCATCATGGCATGGGTTGGGATTCTGAATTTAACATAAATGGAAAAAGGAGAAGACCGAATGAGCACCAACATTCCTGTCTCTCTATTCCCTGCTGGGCAGGCAATGGGACCAGCCACCTTACAATCCTGCCACCACACCGTACTCCATCTCTTCTTAAAACATAAGCAAAATAAATCTTCCTTCCTTGTAGTGGGTAGCTGTTCCAGCCTTGACCTGGAAGTACTACCCCCATTGAGGCTTCGGTAACTGTCACACCTACAAGGTGGGGCCGAGACAGGAGCCCTTAAGACCTGAGATCTGGATGTGCCAGCTCTTTTGGTTCCTGGATCCTGGATGCTGGAGGTAGACCGAGCAGAGTTCTCCAGAGAACACCGCCGGACTGCGCTACACCTTTCCCAGACCCTGTAACCTATTCCTTCCCTTGTAAGTTATCCCACAAAATAAACCTCCCTTTTAACTATGTGGAGTTGCCTTAATACTACAACCAATACTTCCTTAAAGTTGCTTCTGTGAGGTATTATATCACAGTAGTGAGCAGAGTAACTAATATAGTCATCCTCACAGACATGCCAGCCTAGAAAAACAGGGAGATGTAGCCAAGTTCTTTATAATTTGTTTAAGGAGCAGGATGGATATAAGAGCAAACCATACCTAGATTCATTTCTAACACTCTATGAGCACCTACCATGTGCCATGCCTGTACTAAATAAAATTATCTTGTTTAGTCCTCCAAAAACATTGAAATCTACTATATGTCAAGTGTATACAGCTAAGTAGTCATCAGAATGGTGGGCGTACAACTTGCAAATCAACAGAAATGCAACTCTCCAACTCGTGTCCATTCAGAGGCATGACTGGCATGCTTTGAAACTCAAGGTACTTGTATATGAATGGTCCTATCATTTCTTCTTCGGTTAATTGCTCTCAGAGTTTGTTGTATGCCACAATTAAAACACCAGGTTGTTTGTAGAAAACTATGTGTAGAGTGTCCTTTTAAGCTGGCCTAAGGTAATTATGAATTGCTAGTCTGTTCCCTTGACAAACACTCCTAATCACCCAAGGCACTCAAGCCAGAGCCCATGAATTATTCCTAAAATTCGGATTCCTTCTGAACAGCATTTCAGGCAGTGGAAAGTATGTGCTTATTGTGTATCCCTTATCCAAACTGCCTGGATCCAGAAGTATTTTGGATTAGGGAACTTTTCATAATTTTTGCACTATTTGCACATATATAATGAGATTCCCTGGGATTAGAACCCAAATGTAAACACCAAATTCATTTCCTTTTTATATAGACTGTATACTCACAGCCTGAAGATCATTTATATACAATACTTTCAGTTTACCTTGTTTGGACCGCCACCCACCACATAAGGTCAAGTATAAAGTTTGTCACACAGCACTTTAGGTCAGCATTCAGGAAGTTGTATACTTAGGAGAATTTTGTATTTTGGTCTTGGGGATTAGTTTCCAGACTAGTAAAATGTATTTGTTTTAGTTGGCCAATCAACACGTTCCTTTTCTGTGATCCTTCCTGCCCCAATTACAGCTTTAAGTCTCCCTTCTTATTGTTCTGAGAACAATAAGTAAGCTTCAGTTAATCCTGAGAGCGGCCTTTACAAATCTCTGCCACCCCAAGGGCCTCAATCATGGCAGATTATACCGAACAGTTTTAGCGATTTGAAAGCAGTTGTAACTCAGCGCATAGTACAAAACCTGCTTTGAAAATCAGAAAGCCAAGCAAATAAAGCTGCTGAGCAGATAACAAAATGCCTGTGAAATAGTATTCTATGGGTATCACTGGGAAACGTACAGCGAATAGCTCAGGGAGGCTGATTCATAATGCCAGGTTTATAAGCATGGAAACACGGCTTGAGTAAATAATTCTGATTTTGCTTTTGATACTCACTGATGATTCTTTATTCCACTAAGGGGGCACCACACTGTTCCTTTAGCAGCATCTCCATTATTCTAATTCCCTACAGAGAGAAGAAAGAAAAATCAAAATGCCATCTTTCATAGACAAGCACCATTACATTTATCACAACCTTTTCCCTTCAGGGAATCCGGGTCCCGACCATATACATTCATTGAAGAAAAGTGGGCTCAGTCATCCCTGACATTTGTGTAATATTTCACTCAGCAATCCCCCTTCTGCTTTCTCGGCACGTTCTCGGAGCTGTTTAGGAGGTGGGCAGAGCGGAGTTTGGAATCTGCTTGCAACATCAGAAGGCAGTCCAAGCCCAGGTAAGCAATGTCTCACAAGTGGCACAGCTTGCCAGCGTTGGGATAATGGCCACTGTAAATGTTTGCTGAATGGCAACAATTGTGCTGGCTTCACTGCCAGGGTTCACGAGTGCTGGTGTGGGCAGCAGGTGCTACCCTACCCCACTGAGATGCTCTCCAAGATGAAGGCACTCTTTCCCCACCCACAAGAACCTATTAAGGACCGCTGCAGGCACAGGGACATCTCAGCCAAGGCACATCATCACCTGAGGTCATGCCCTCTCTCCAGTGCCAGCCCATATCCTATGACTGGTGGATATGAAGACATAATGACTCTCTTCTCTCAGTTGCCAACAACTGGGAAGGGTATTGCACCCCCATGGCTCTCCATGGCGCAGCTGAGACCTCTGCTGCAGCTGTATCTCAGCCAGCCTCCCTGGTTTCCCTCCTTACAGAGATGCTCCCCGCAGCCCTCTCCAACACACTCGATACATACATCCCCACTCTGACACCTTGTTTGATACAGACAAAACTGCTTTCCTAGTTAGAACACAGATGTTCAAAGAGGTTTAAGTGTGCGCCCAGAGCTCTGACATCGTGAGGGGAAGCCAGGGAAACTCACAGGCACTCCACCCTGCTTTCAGCCCCACACAACAGTCTTCTGCACTGTGCATTCCATGACTTCCCACGCCACCCTGCCTACCCTTGTTCCTGAAGGAAAGAAGATGGCAGATACCCCTGTCCTACTTTTAGAGACCAGTTCTGCAGGCTGGAGAATAGCTTGCAGGGAAAGATGGGGTTGGGGCATAACTATGAGGTAAGGTCTTAAAGACTGCGCAGCTGGGTCCAGAAAGAAAGGGGGCTGCTGTTCACAGAGACTAGAAATGTCGAGAATCATAGCAATGAAAAGAACTTCAAAAAGGTTCCCCAGGCCTCTCCCAGAAAAAACAGGATTAATGGGACTCTGGTGGGGCCCCAGAATTCTGTACCTTTGACAACCTCTCACATAATTCCCTTAAGAACAAGCAGGGCTGGGCAATGCTGAGTTGGCCTACAAAAGAAGGGCTGGGACCCACCACTGGTGCTTGTGTGGGACAGGAGACAAGGACTGAAAGGAAGCAAAGGCATCACTAGTGAACACAATAAAACAGGGGCTTGGGAAGTGACCGCATGGTTGAAGTGCTTGGTGTGCGAAGAAGGGGACCTGAGTTCAAACTCCCAACACATTCTTTTAAAAGACCAAACAAACAAACAAACAAACAAAAAATGTTGACCACACATCTGCATTTCCAGCACTGGAAAGCAAGAGAGCAGAGACAGATAGCTGGGTATATCAAGTTCATTGTCAATTCTAGACAAATCCATGGGCTCCAGGTTACACAAGAGACACATCTCGAAAAGATATGGTGGAAAATGGTCCAGGAAGATGCTTAACAGCAACCTCTGGCCTCCATATGCATGCATATACATGTGAACC